GCTATTTTTTGGTTGCAGCCATCATTTTGTTTGGTGGGCCTGGGCTGGATTCGAACCCTCCAGCTCAGGTGTATGTGACTGGCACCTTAGCTGCTTGAGCCACAGGTGCTGAGTCTTGGCTATTTTTTTTTAAATTTTGCTTTCAATTGGCTTTCAATCTTCTTAGTTTGAAGGTTTTTTTTTTTTCTTTCTTTCTTTATTTTTCATTGAGACAGAGTCTCACTTTGTGGCCCTCAGTAGAGTACTGTGGAGTCATAGCTCACAGGAACCTCCAACTCATGGGTTTAAGTGATTCTTTTGCCTCAGCCTCCCAAGTAGCTGGGACTACAGGCGCCTGCCAGAACGCCTGGCTATTTTTTGGTAGAGACGGGGTCTCACTCTGGCTCATGCTGGTCTCTTAACCTCGGAGCTCAGGGCAATCCACCCTCCTCAGCCTCCTAGGGTGCTAGAATTACAAGCGTGAGCCACCATGCCTGGCCTTTTTTTTTTTTTTTTCAGTTTTTTGCCGGGGCTGGATTTGAACCCGCCCATGCCCTACTTCTTTGAGCCACAGGCGCCGCTTGGCTTTTTTTTTTTTTTTAAGAAACAGGGTCTCACTCTTGCTCATGGTGGTCTTGAACTTATGTTGAGCAGTCCACCCGCCTTGACCTCCCAGAGTGCTGGGATTATAGGCATTAGCCAGTGCTCCCAGCCCCCAAATTTTAAAATGAGACCAGTATTATAGCCCACCTATTGTCCCAGCTACTGGTGAAGCTAAAGCAGAAGAATCACTTGAGTCCAGGGGTTGAGGCTACAGTGACCTATGAGTGTACCTCTGCACTCCTACCTGGGTAACAGAACAAGACCCTGTCTCTAGTTTTTTGCCGGAGCTGGGTTTGAGCCTGCCACCTCCGGCCCCAGTAGGGGCCGGTGCCCTATTGAGCCACAAGCGCTGCCCCCCCCCACCTTTTTTTTTGAGACAGAGTCTCACTGTTGCCCTCGGTAGAGTGCTGTAGCATCACAGCTCACAGCAACCTTCAACTCCTGGGCTCAGGCTATTCTCTTGCCTCAGCCTCCCAAGTAGCTGGGACTACAGGTGCACACTAAAATGCCTGGCTATTATTTTTGAAGTTTTTTTGGCTAGGACTGGGTTTGAACCCGCAGTATGGGGCCAGCGCCCTACTCCTTGAACCACAGGTGCCACCCACGCCCAACTATTTTTTTGTTGCAGTTTGGCTGGGGCTGGGTTCGAACCTGCCACCCTCAGTATATGGGGCTGGTGCCCTACCCACTGAGCCACAGGCACTGCCCAACAAAAAGAATCTTTACAAACTGGGGTGTATGTGTATAAGAGAGAGAGATTGAGAGCTGAGCTATGACTAAGGGTGGGGGCTGCTGGGCCAGGGGCAGGTGGTGGGAGCTGGGCAGAGGCGCAAACCAGACTCCATTCCCTGACCTTATATGTAGCAGCCCCAGTCTCACTCCAACCCCAAGGCCGAGAACCTGGCTCCATCCACCTTTCTGAGGTCAGGCAGGACTCCTAGGGTGTCCTGGTGTGGGGTTGAGAGAAATAAACCCACAAAATACTCTTAATGTGTGGCTTTTTCCCTCACATCCCTGGACCTTGGTTTCCCCATCCGTGTAGGGAGGAAGCAGTCTTGGCCCTCCTCAGCATTGCTCTGAAGATTAACCCCACGGCCAAATGTGAAAAATGTCTCCAGCAGCTCTTGGGTGGTGGAACCAGTGGGAGCTGAATCAGAGGCAGAGCTGAGGCCAGGAGTTGGGAGGGAGGCCCTAGCAAGCCTGGGAGGTCTGGTGATCTAGTGAAGCCGGAGGCTGGGGGGCTAGGGCAGAGCATGGGTTTTGGTCAGACCTGCATGGCTTCCAGACTAGCTGTGCTGCATGATCTCAGGCAAATCGCCTCGTCTCTCTGAGGTTCCAGAGGCCCCTGATGGGGAGGAAAGGCGAGGGCTTCCCTTGTCTGGGATAGGGTGGTCTTGGTCCCCCCAGCTGGCAATTGGGATGTGTTGGGGGATCTGTAGCGAGAGGGAGGATGTTTGTCTGCCCTGAGCTGTGTTGGCTGGAAGATGGGGGGGGATCCCTGGGTTGGTCCAGCCTTAGGCTGCTTGTCTACTGTAGGGGGGCTGGTGAAGCCAGGGGGGCTGAGGGACTATAGAGGAAGCTCAGGGCCTGCACAGCCTTACCCAGCATAAAACCTCCATTCTTATCACCCACCTGGCACTGGACTCCAGGCCCCACTTCTGCCCAGGCCTGACATGCAGAGAAACCAGTGTCACGGGTGCCTGGCTAGAGCAGATGGTAGAGCTGGAAGTGCTGACCGGAGTGGCATGGCTGAGCGGGCATGGGTGGCAGCCAGGCAGCCAGATGTGTGGGGGATGGGCCTGGGCTGAGCTGCCAGGGCAGAGAGGGGCTTGGGAGTGATAAGAAGGAGGTGTTGGCAGTTGGAGCAGAGCTAGGGAGGGATGTGGAGCCTCTGCCAAGGGAGATTGGGTCAAGGAGCCCCAGGCCCCTCAAGAGAATGGCACCTTTGATGGGAGTTGGGCCTGCGTGCCAGGACTGTGGGTGGCACCACTGTGGCACCTGAGCTGGCGGCGCATAGTTGGGGAGCAGCCCAAGTCATGAATGTTCCTCCACCTGAGGGCTAGCAAGGATGACAGGGGCTGGCAGGTAATCTGCCTCCACTACTGGGCAGGGCTTGAAACTTACCTCCAAGTAAAGCAGAGACACCTTGGGGTGAGGCCTCCCTGGCTTTGGAACAGCACCCTCCCCTTCCAAATCCAGCTCTGCTACCTAGTAGCTCAGGGTCCTGGGTGAAGAAGGTACTGCCAGGAGCCACTTGGGGTAGCATCATGAGGCCTAGGGAGAGAGCCTCCAGCAAGGACTTAACCAGTGTGCAGTCTGAGCAGCCTCCATCTCCTCTGTCTTGCAGGTGTGGTCACCTCTGCCTATAGCCTCTCACTCAATCCCGCTGGCACAGTCCTTGAAGGAGTGGCCAGGGCTGGACGATATACATTTACTGCAGGTAAGCAAGCATGGAGGGTAGGGCTGGGGGCTCTCCTGGCACTGTCCTGGCCCTTAAAGTATATTCCACAGCTCCTGGTCAGTGTCTACAATCTAAGCCACCAGGGAGAGTTCCTTTTTCAGGGACACATGTCAGGCTGAGAATGGTCTCAGGAGACCAGCTGTAGTGCTGGGGGCAGGGTGTCAGGTGTCGGGTGGGGTGCTTGTCATACTGGAGGGTTCTGCCCTCTGCCCGCTGGCAGTATGTGCCCAGCAGCCTCCTGCTGAAGCCCTTGACTCAGCATCTGCCCTGCAGCTGCCATTGGAGCCGTGTTTGGCCTTGCCTCGTGCATCAGCGCCCAGGTCCGTGAGAAGCCCGATGACCCCATGAACTACTTCATCGGAGGCTGTGCAGGAGGCCTGACCCTGGGAGCACGTAGTGAGTGGGCTCCCCCATGCCCCTGCTTCCTGTACTAGCAGAATGACCCCTGACCTCCCCTGACCCAGCCCTCTCTGTTCTGTCCCGAGCAAGGAGCCAGGCGGGGGCTGGGTGTACGGATGCTGCCCCTAACTCCAGTCAGCTCAGGGAGAGCAGCACTGCCATCTACCCACCAGGCTGAGCCCTCCCAGGGTGCCCTTTGGCATTCGGCCTGGCTCCTGCATTCTGTTCTAGCCTCTTTACTGTGCCTCCAACATGCCAGGTGTGGTCCTGCCTCAGGGTCTTTGTGTGGGCTGTGCCCTTCTGCCTGGAACACTCCCTTAGGTGTCAGCACAGCCTCACTGCCCCAGCCACTCTATGTGATCCAGCCCCTTTCCCTGCAGCTGCCCTCACTCCACGTCCCCTTCTCTGCCATGCCTCATTAGGGAACATGGGTCACTGCCCATGTTGACCACTGGCCTGTGGCACGGAGAGAAGGTGACACTCCTTGCACTCTGTTTTCTAGCAGCACACAGAACCCTTCAGGGGAGCTACTCTCAAAACCCCCACTTTACAGATTTGGGAACTGAGGCTCAGGGAGGGACTTGGGTGGCTCTGGGTTGGCCCGGCACTGGGGAGCCTGTCTGGTGTAGGGGGTGGGTGCTACTTCTCCCAGCCCCTGTGTGCCCAGACTTCAGGGTCACTGCTACCTGTGTCCCTGGCTCACTGAGACTCATACTCTTGGAGCCTCTAGGCCAGCCTGGTATGTTACTCAATGCCAGGTTCCAGCCAAGCTGAGATGGTGGGTGGCCCAGGAAGGGGAGGAGGCCTATTCCTATGGCCCCTGTACTGAGACTTTGTCACATTCCCATCCACCTGACTCTGGCTGGGACTGCCTGCAATGGGCAGGTCTGGTGGATGGGACATGTTTCCTTCCTCATTTGGCCCAGGGCTTCGAGCAGGAAAACCCAAGCAAATGAGGGCACTGTCTGTGCTCCTTGGTTCACGGAGCACAGGCAGGTGCGTGGTATGGCCTGACCCTGGTACCTGTGGGTAGGGGAGAAGCTGTACCACACTGAGGTGTTGGTTGTTGCCAGTGTGGACCCAACACCTAGGATTCTTGCTGCAAAGAGACCTGGGCTCAGGCCTTCCTCTGAGCTTGCTTTTGTATCTCCAAAGTCTAGTGCACCTCCTGACCTTGTGGGAGGTTTGAGGGACTTTCTGAAGTAAAGGGTTCTCAGTCCAGCTCCCAGGGTGGCCACTGGCTGGGGCATGGAACCCTTATTTCTACATGCCTGACGTCACCTCCTTATACTGTCGCAGCTCACAACTACGGGATTGGTGCCACTGCCTGCGTGTACATGGGCGTAGCGGCCGCCCTAGTCAAGATGGGCAAGCTGGAGGGCTGGAGAATGTTTGGAGAGCCCAGGGTGTGAGCCCTGCCGTCTGCCAGGACCTCAGCAGATTGGGATACTTCTGGAAATAAATTCTGTGTATATGCGTCTGAATGTCCCAGAGGGTTTGGCAACAGGAACATGCCATTGAGGGAGGGAGGCTCAGGGTGGCAAGGGCACCAGTCTGGCTCTGCAGCGCTGGTAGTGTGACAGGCTGGGGCCAGAGAGAACCTAGGAGTGGGACTTGGCTGGGATACTGGGGCAGGATAGGGGCCTGCAGATGCCTGCCAATGATGTAAACTGGGTCCAGTTGCCCCCAGCCCTTCCTCGGTTCTGGCCACAGCTCCCCTGCAGGTCACTACTGTCCCCTTTCTGTCTCCTGTCCTCAAAGCCAACAGAATATGGAAAACAACGCCAAGTTCTTAGGCATTGGAGCAGAGAGGCCTGGACAGACGCCCAGGAGTTTCATCCCATCCAGCAATTCCCTGGGGCATAGTGGGACAGGACTCTTGTAATCTCTGCCTGTGGCACCTAATAGGCCCAGCAGTTTAGGCAGCCCTGAAATGCGGGTGCTACCCTGGGCTTTTTCTCCAGAACTGGCTCACGCTTCCTGGCAGCTGGAGCTGAAGCCTGGCAAGGGCTCACGTGCCACCACTATGAGATGGGCTGTAAATTAGGGCTCTGCAGGTCCCACCAGGGGAGCAGAGCTACAGGGTCCTCCTGTTGTCACCTATAACCATCCTGGCTCTTCCCAACCCTGCATTTGAGCCTACCCCTGGGGCCTAGACAGGGTTAAACACCAAACTGCACTTTTAGCTTCACTTTGCCTCTCTGTCTGCCCAGGGTAGCGCCCTCTGTTTGTTGAGCAGCTCAACTTGGACATAAACAGAGCATGGAGTGAGGCCACATTGCAGTCAGCCCTGCTTTGTTGTTTTTATTTTTGTCCCTATACTGTGATTCCAGGTCTCTTCCAGCCCTTTTCTCTCCACCTACCCTGAAGTGTTCTGGCCTGAGGGGGCCAGGTAGCAGCTCAGGGTCATGTCCAGGACTGTGTGCCTGAGTCTGGACTTGAGGCTTCCTAAGGTGAGGCAGCTGGGAGGGGAGGGCCTGGAGCCTGAGGCAGCTTTGGATAAGAGAAGGCTCTGTGTTGGTACCCTGCACTTGATTTCTTCCCTGGCTCTGAGTCCTTGGTGACATCAGCATCTGTCAAAGCCTCTGCTTTCCCACATGGCGAATGGGAATAACATCCATTGCTCAGCCCCAGATGTTCCATGAAGAAAGACGGTTCCAACCCCTGCAGGCTCCCTGTCTACTCTGGAGCCCCTGTGGCTTCTGCTCTGTATCCTCTGTGGCCAGCAGGGGGTGCCGCTCTGCCCAGGGCAGGGTGCAGGCCACCATCTGCCTTCTCACCTCTTTTTTCCTTTCCGTCCGTCCTAAGACAGCCAGGAGGTCACAGGTTCCAAGAGAGGGCGGCACAGTCCATACTCCCAGCTTGGACACAGGGCTGGACAGGGGAAGGGACCTACCCACAGCTCACTGTGGGTGCTGTTCTTGCACTGAAGCCACTTAAAACCATGTTCATCTGGGCCTCCTGCAAGTCCAAACCCCGTACCAGATCGCATAGTCTCCTTCCACAGATGTGCACACCAAGGCCTAGGGGAAGAGGAAGGGAAATTCAAAGCTGGTGATCTCTGTCCTGCCATCCAGCCTCTATTTATTCCGTGCCTTCAAGAGAGCCTGCAGCTCAGACGGGGCTGTACTTGCCGCCCACCTAGCCTGGTTTGGGGCCAGTTGCCAGTGTTGGAGTGAGCCTGCTAGGCCCCCTAGAGTGGGACAGGAGGGGGCGTCTGCTCTCTGAGCCCCAGGGAGCCCCAAAATTCAGGCCCCGTTGCCCATAAACATTTATGAGGATACAAGGAGCTGACATCACTCTTGCCCCGTGCATAGCCCTCCCCCACAAGGGCCCTGTCCAGAACATCCGCCTCTGCCATGCAGCTTCCTGTTGGACAGCAAAAGAATCTTCTGGAATTTACTCAGGTTTCAACACGGCCCTTCCCAGCCCCAAGCAGTGAGGGTGGAATAGAGTCTCCCTGGGGGGGCAAAAGGGCTTCCTGGAGGAGGAGGTGGCATGAAAAAAGGGGGCTAAAGGATGTTTTTTCAGATTTGACCAAGGAAGAAGGGTGTCTAGGCAAAGGACAAATCGAGAAGGCCTGGTGTGCTGTTAGAGCCCCAGCAAGGTGCTGGCCCTGCCCCTCCAGGGTTTCTAAATTCTTTGTGGGCCAGGAAAACGTTAGCACAGTAGTTCTCAACTTGTGGGTCACGACCCCTTTGGGGGTCGAACGACCCTTTCACAGGGGTCACCTAAGACCATCCTGCATATCAGATATTTACATTATGATTCATAACAGTAGCAAAATTACAGCCATGAAGTAGCAGCGAAAATAATTTTATGGTTGGGGGTCACCACAACATGAGGAACTATATTAAAGAGTTACAGCATTAGGACGGTTGAGAACCACTGGGTTAGCAAGACAAAAAGGAGGGAAGAACCCAAGAGTCCTTCCCAGCTGCCAGGCTGGTCAGGTGGTATTACCACCTCAGCAGCTCCACATTATGTGTATCAGTCCTGTTCCACAGAAGGGGAAACCGAGGCCCAGGGAGGCACTTTCGGAGCCTGCCTCTAGTAGAAACTGAAAGAAGTGTTACTTCTCTTGCTATTAGCTATTATTTGTAAACAAGTATCTTCTTTTGACTTCCCAAATGGTCTCAATTGGAGCAAAAACAAGCCAAGGAGGAAAGGAAGGTGTTCTCGTATCCAAGTGGTCTCAGGAGCAACATTGCACTTCTACAAACTTCTGTGAAAGGTGGTGTTGAGTGTGGGCTGGGTGCTTGTTGGTGTGCTGGTGACCAGAATGGGATGAGAGGTTGTTGAGAAGGCCCCATGGAATGATGTTCACTTTGCTGGGGCTGAGCAGCTCGTCCTCCTGCCCCTTGGCCTCCAGATCTGTCCCAGGTCTGCCCCTGGTCCCGTCTCTGCCTCGCCCACTAAGATCAGCAAAGTTCCTTCCACCTTGGTCCCTGGCCTCCACCATTGGCCCCCCATGGTCTGTCCTTGCAACAGCCAGACAGCACACATGAGCACCTGAGTCAGTGCCTGTCTCTCCTCTGCCCAGCCCTCATGTGTCCCACCTCCCGCAGCATCAAAGCCCAAGTCCTCCCAGGAGAACACCAGTCCCTGCACAACTTGCCCTATGCCCGCCCTCCTCTCTCCCCGCTCTGTTGCAGACACACTGGCCACCTTGCCGTGCCTTCAATACACCAGGCACTGTCCTGCCCAAGAGCCTTTGCGTAGGCTGTGCTCGCTGTCTGAATGCTTTTCTCCAGGTGCCCCTACAGCTCACCCCTTGGGTTTTCACTTCAGACGTCATGTCCTCCCACACTCCGCCTTCTAGTTTTGCCCATAGCACTTACCAGCTTCTAAATCCCATGTCATTATCACATACATTGTTTACGTGTGTCTCTTTGAGGGCTGGGACGTGTCCTGGATGTTATGCCCCACACCCAGCCCAGGAGCTCAGCAGGGCTTCATAAACGTGTGGAATGAATGAATGGATAAACAAAGAAAGTGAATCTCCAGATTGGCCAATGACATGAGGTTCAGAGGTGGGGCTGAGAACAGTTTGAGGATGGCTTTGCAACCTTCTCACTATCCCCCCATTTGATGATGGTTCCAGGATCATGAGAGAAACCATCTATCTCAGAGAATCTCAAAGTCAAGACTCAGAATTCATGTAACAAGCACAGCCACACTGCCTGATAATGTTTTGGTCAGTGACAGGTTGTGTATATAATGGGGTCCCATCAGATTATAATTCCATATTCTTCTTACTGCACCTTTTCTGTGTTTAGAAATGTTCAGGACACAGATACCAATCGTGTTTCAGTGGCCTGCAGTGTTCCATGCAGGAGTGCACTATGTAGGTTACCCCAGGAGCAGCAGGCAGCACCCCTCTGTCCTGGTGGCTGCAGGCCCTGCCCAGGATGTGTGTGTGCATGCTGATGTCTGGCTCCAACGGATCTCCCTAGCACATCTCTCAGGGTGCATCCACTTTGTTAACCAGGGAATGGCTAGTGAGTGCCTGAGTGCCTACGCTGTGGGTATTCCCAGTGGGAGTCACATCTGCACATAAGACCATTGAGATCTCCACTTTCTTGGAGCCAAAATCTGGACTAGAGGGTGAAGTGGCAAAAATGAGCAAACAAGAGACAAGTAGTTCCACCATGTCCCTACCCCGTTGCTGTCCCCAGGGGCACCAGTCATATTTCTCATTTCTCCTTCCAAAACTGTGCTTGGGAGATAAAGGCAAGGTGGCCTGAGAGACAGAGATGGGGGTCCTGTAGCTCGGGGTAGTCTGGGGGAAGACCTGTGGGGCCAAGAAGCAGCCAGCTTTGAGGTTCCAGGCGGGAGCCTGTTTTAGACAGAGGCACAGCTTGTGCAAAGACTGACCACAGCCCCGTAACAACCAGAAGACCAGTGTGGTGGGATCGAGTGCCTGTGAATTGGGGGCTCAGAATGCCTCAGGGATGCCATGTCACTGTGCCCACAGGGTACCTGTCAGAGTAGAGGTGGGGTCAAGAAAGAGGACCCCAGGTTCTCTGGCTATGTTCCAGTAGAGGCTCCAGCCTCAATGACCAAAGCCAGAATCGTCATCACTTCAGGTCTGGAAGTTGGGGGGTAGAGATTTGTGCCCTCTTGCCACACCTGGCTTGACATCCAAGGCTCAGACCCTGTAGAGATCATTTTCCCAGTCCCAGGTCTTCTTGGGCATCTCCTACATCCATGAGATTCACACAGCTGGAGAGTGATTTTGTCCATGGGGAAACTGAGGTACAGAGCAGCCAGAACCCCCTTCAGTCAATCTCTTGCCACTCACTGTGGTCCTTCTTAGAGTTTGCACACAGGCCTGGCTTTGGACACAGAGAGGGGCCCCTAGTCCCCTCACTGGTGTGCACAGGTCTGAGCCAGCTGAGCCCCTGGAGGTTTCCACCACACTGGGTGGTCGCCGAGCTACACAGGGCTCAGTCAGGCCTGGCTGGTCCCTGGTCCAGCCCAG